GAAAGTAATTAGAGTTGATTGGAAGAAAACTTAATCAAAAGTTCCAAAGAGTGAGTATAATAACGTGCAATAAAGTCAAAGAGGACATGATTAATTAAATTATAAGGAAATGGAATCAGATAATTTGAAGAATGATATCGATACAGGATATGAAGCAGGATTTTAGTGAGGAAATACAAAGAATAAGGAAGTTGAATATCAGTAATTATCAATAAATATCAATAATTCATTCAAAAAATTATTCGATATCAAAGCTTATGGAGAATATAGGTGGAAAATTTGAGACATACTCGAACATATAAAAGGCCACATCTGAGAAATATACAGCCAACATTATGGTAAAAGAGGACAAAATAATAGTATTTACTGTAAAGTCTATATTGAGACCAGTGTGTCCATTTTTCTACCTGTTTATCAATGTAGTCCTTGAAATCTTAGCTAGAGTATTAAGGCAAGAGAAATTAATAAAATGTACAAAAAGAAAGGAAGGAATCCTTGTTTATTTTTATCTACATGTGATATGATCCTGTACTTAATATACTCTAAATCCTCCCACCCCCCAAAAAAATAACCAAAAAAACCCCCAAACTTTTAGAATTGACAAATACTTTTAGCATATTACAGGACTATATGCATATTAAAAACACCAGTAACTTTCCAAATACTAGTAATAAACTTGAAGAGAATGAAATCAAGAAGATACATCTTATTCACAAAAATTTTATGGATAATAAAAATATGACATCTACACACAGTATGATTTTATTCAGTCATAAAGAATAAAATAATGTTTTCTGAAAATGAATAAAGAAGGAAATTATCATATTCAATAGAATGAGCCCATCAAAGAAAAAAAACTTATATTCTTTGCTTATTTGGGTCAAGATTTTATATAGATAAATGAGATAATTTATCTATGAATATAAAATTTGCATGATGTAAAAGTGGAAATAAAACTGTGTGGAGGCACAAAAAATGCTCTTAATCTCTGAAGAGCACTTGCTGTTCTTGCAGAGCACCTGCATTCAGTTCCCAGCACCCACATGGCATCATACAATCATCTATAAGTCCAGTTGTACAAGATCCTGTGTGGAATTCCAGAATCAAATGAGTCCATGGAGGATGACTGCACCTGGACATCTCTCAGAGGTTTACAGTAGGATTCAGGTGTTCATTCCTGACTTGGGTTGGAAAACCAGGATGCATTTCATAGGGACAAAAGGTCATGTCATTTTAAAAAAACAGTAACTTTTTTTCCTGCCCCCCCCCAAAGAACCCTGGTGTTAGCATGTTATTTTGCTGACAGCCTGTCAGCTGATAAACTAAGGAATGTACCACCTCTGCTTCCTCTTTACACTTCCCCCTGCACAGGGATTCTGTGGTATTTGATAATGCTTGCTTACCTTCAATATGACTTATTAATGCAAATCGGGTGTATTTTGCCTGTCTCTTTGTCTTCAAGCTATACATAAACTGGCTTGTTAGCCCAATAAACAATCTACCCTGGAAGTAGACATCCAAGATTTTATTTGCTCCTATGTACTCTCAGCCGTGGATAGCCTGGCTTCTGTTCTCCCCTGGGTCCTAAGATCACAGATGGGCTGAGTAGTCTGGGGGGGGGGAGGGCTAGGAAAGGAGAAAATAATCCTGCTCCTACTTCAAGCATCCATCAGTACTACGTATGCAGGCAATTCTCATATGCACAGTTAAAGACTGGGTCAAGCTATTTAGCAAGTTATTCCCACAACGATTTCCAGATTACTTACAAGTTTAGGAAACATTTTTTTTTTTTTTTACATGATGTGTTATTTTTGAAATGCAAGTGAAATCAATCCTGAAAAATTACCATCATCACATTGAACAACATCTGTGTTCCTGACAATCCTCAGTGCTTGCATTGAGTGGAAGTGGAGCAAGTCATGTGAATTCAAACAGGTTAACAACATTTATGAAGACTGTTTGGGTTTTGCAAAACTGCACATTTATCATAGAATGAAGCAATCATATCCCTTGGTATTTTCACAAAGAAGTTGAAAACAAGTTCACAGAAACATCTGCATACAGATGGCATTGAAGTTTTATTCATCTTTACTAAGATGAAAGTAGCCAAGATGCCTTTATATGTTTGAATGTGAAATGTCCTTAATGGGTTCATGTGTTGAACACTTGTGTCCCAGTTGGTGGCGCTGGTGGATGTAGAAACAGCTCTTGTAAAGACAACATCGACTCTGTAATTTTGTCCATAGTCTCTGAAGCAGGATGAATGCCTGTCATCTCTGTCTTCTACATTGCATGTCTGTACTGGGGCTGAAGACAGAGGTAAGTTATTGTCCTTAACATTTCCTCTTGAGGGACAATGACTCCCAGAAGAGAAAAAGTCAGAGGGATAAACTAATTATCACTTAGATGAGATTTTTCTTTTTTCATGGGGGCTGGGCTCTGTTCTCTGTGTCAGGTGACTAGATGAACAATTAAACAATTATGGGATCACCTTGCAGGACTGACTTTCTTCTAATAGCTGAGACATTGATGGATCCATGATGTATATAACCACAACCAGACCAATTGCTCAATTATGCATACATTTCTCTCTCTTTCCAGATGCAGAGAGGGAAGACAAGACCAGGCTACAGAAATCCACAGAGACAGCTGACCTGAACAAGGGGGAGCTCATGGACCCCCAGACTGATAGCTGGGAAACCAGCATTGGACCAACTCAGACCCCTTGAACGTGGGTCTCAGTTAGAAGTCCTGGGCAGTCTAAGGGGCCTCTAACAGTGGAACCAGGATGTATCCCTTGTGCACAAAATGACTTTGGGAGCCCATCTCCCATGGAGGGATACTTCTCTAATGTAGAGGCAGGAGGGAGGGCCTAGTCCCTACTCCAAATGACTTGACAGATTTTTTGACCCCTCCTGGAAGGCATCACCCTCCCTGGGGATTGGGGGGGGTGTGAAGGGATGGGAGGGTGGTTAGGAGACATGGGAGGGAGGGAGACAGAGAGGGAAGGAGGGAGGGAGCAAGAGGGAACTGGGGAAAAAAACTCTTTGAATCTAAATTTCCCATGCCAATACCCTGATGATATATTTAGGGATCACTGGTTCCCCTGTATGTGTTTGTCTCGGCATGGCCAAGTAGAATAAATACTCTGCGTCATTTTTATCACTATACATTTCTTCAACTGGATGCCAAGCCAAGGTAATTGGGACTATTGTATCCGGGGCTTCCATCCTAAAAGGTTTCGTAAGATTCTTTTTGTTGTTGTTTTGTTTTGTTTTGTTTTTTGAGACAGGGTTTCTCTGCATTTTTTTTTTTTTTTTTGGAGCCTGTCCTGGAACTAGCTCTGTATACCAGGCTGGCCTCCAAGTCAGACAGATTCACCTGCCTCTGTCTCCCGAGTGTTGGCATTAAGGGCATGGGCCACCAATGCCCCACACTTTGATAAGATTCTTAGTGTAAAATTTTACTCTAGACAGAATTACCTTCCTTCCTAAGTGAATTAAAAATATAGACTATTAGATAAAGAATTATGTAGGAGTTAGATTAAACCTGTGTGTGTTCTACTCCCTTTAAACTGAAGTCAGACCAGACATAGCCCATTAAAATTCCAGTTCATTGCCTCAGAAAAGAGTAGTGTAATTATTTTCTCATGGTTATTTGGAAAAAGCCAAATAATAAACAAAAACTTTAAGTTTTCCCTGCATCGCAGCTCCTGAACTTTATCTCACCCTCTACCAAAGACAGACTTTAACTAACTCTTCTTTCCCTCTCCTAGGTCTGTTCGGGGAAAGCCATCTCTAAGTAGCTGATTGGCTCATATTGATTTTCCTAGTTGTGTTCTTCCTCACATATAAGAAAGACCCTGGTCAGGGCTAGCCATATGGTTCAGAGAGTATTTGCCACATAAACCTGACAACCTGATTTGATCCCTGGAGCCCACATAAATGACAAAGGAGAGAAGATAGTCCACAGAGGGGTCCTCTGACTTCCACTTGTGTGCTGTGCCAAGTATGATTTCCCTGTCATGCAAACACCCACACAATAACAACACGATATTCAAAACATAAGAAAATATCTTTCTCCATGGCTTTTGAGATGTTTATATTATAGACCTTACAATTAGATTAGTTTTCCTGTTGCAAATGTTCCTTTTTTATTGTCTGCAATAAATTTTCAAAAAGACTTCTCTTCTTACATGTGGTCTTGATTTTATTTGGTCACACAAATAATCAAGCTATTTTATGCTGATCATATGTCTTTATTATTCTTCCATAATTTCAGATTCATTACTAGTGTAAAAATTTTAAGAGTATTTAGAAATTTGGATTTACATTGTCTCATTAGTGTTTACAAGCTTTCTGAAAATGATGAAGTAATTTTTGGTAGTGTTCCCCCTTCAGCCTCCTCCACATGGCTAGGTTTCACTGTAGGTCTGCTTTATTGTGCCTTAACAAGAGGAGTAGAAGCTATTGTTTCGCCTTCTATCTCAAGTTATTTCCCTCAATTTCTATTGGCCTCTCTCTCTTACATGGTATGCTAAAGTATAACGAGGGGCACTGTGTAACCACCCTTTAATTCAGCTTGCCTTGACACTTGCAAAATTGCAATGTGTTTGTCTGAAAAGACAATGCAGCTACAACAGGGAAAGGTCTTAGGTCCTACTTAACTTTATAAGAAAACAGGAAACTCTTCTTGAAGAGTATGACTGCACAGTGACAAGTATTTTTGTTTATCCTGGGGTTATAGAAAAAGTCTTCCTTGTCACTAACTCTTGAAGATGGGACAGTAAAGTCTGATTTGGTCAGGGTTGGCGTCATTTCATGTTTTCAGTGGCAATGCAAACTTTAGATTTGGTGCCAAATTATGTTTCTGTTGTGAGCATGTCATAATCACTGTATCTCTAACAGCTACCTTAACTTTTCCATAAATTTCTAGTGTGCATTGTCTATTCTATTTGTACTTATCTGTCCACACCTCTTCCCACCCACTCTTCCACTTACTTGTCTCATTGAGGTCAGGTTCTTCTCCAGAGAGACAGGCAGGGAGAGTGTGATCTTTCCCGGAGGAGACGAGGCTGCAGTCTGTCAGTGACCTTACAGACAGGAAGCTTTAGCTGAGGGCAGGGGCTGAATTTATTCTCAGCAGGGCAAGCCTCCAAGTTCTTTCTGGGAGGAGTTTCATGTCACTCCTCTTTATACCACTAGTTGTGTCACTAAAGTAGTGCAGAGTCCAGTTTATAAGTAACTAATCTTGTAAAAAGAGACTCAGAATCCAATTTTCTTGTGATTTAGCAGAAAAAGCAACAAAGGCACACATGCTAGAGATATTGTTAGTAGCTGTGAGGAGGAGGGAGCTAGATGAGAAAAGAAAGTCATCTCTTTGAATCAGAGGTCAGAAAATTGGGTAGGTGATGGGGGAATGACTCAGTGGATAAAGTGCTAACTATGCAAGGATTAGGACCAGAGTACACACCTCCAGAACCAACATAAATGCCATGCAGGCACAATGGGAGTCTCTGACACCAGTACTCAGGAGACAGAGACAGTGAGGTGCAAGCTAGCTAGCTAAATTAGCCAGAATTGGTTAGCTCCAGCTTCAGTGAGAAACCCTGGTTTCCTAGTCACACTCTATCAGAAGGAAATGTCCTGTGTCTACCTCACCTGTCCTCTCTGTCATGGTGTTTTAAGGCTGAGGGAGAGGCGGTTATGTGGTGCTTCCTCCCTCCTTTCACACATTTCAATTCTAAGGATGGGCAGGGGTGATACTAATTCTTAACATCAGTGTTGCCAGGGACATGGGAGGGTACAAAGCTGATCACAGTAGTGAAGTAGATCCTCAATGACACCTCAGCCTGTCAATTTCTGAATTTTCATCTTACAGTTACAGAGAATGCACATGAGCTGTTTGGATATTTGAGTTCTGTGACAGTCAGACCACAAGTGAGCTTGTCTGTCTACTCTGACTCAGAATGTTCTAATGGTAAGGGTATGTGTGTGAATGTTAGAACAAATGAGGAAGTTAAAAATGCCTGTATTTCAGTTAGTTGTTTAGAAAAGAAGGTGTTGGTATATTAGACAGGAATTGCTTTGAAAACCTGTGTTTTTTTTGAGTGTTGTAGCTCAGGCCTGTAATCTTTGCACTTTGGAGGCTAGAAATGAAGGCCAGCATGGGCTAATCCTAGAATTCAGTCTCTTTCTCCCACACATTATACTAAGAAAATATACAATAATAAATCAATTAAAAAAGAAAAACAAGAAAATGCTTGCTTACATATTGTTAATTTTCAAAGTTTCTGTCTCTTTTTATATTTTAGGCATACTTTATTCACGTTTGGATTGAAAAACTGAAAGTATTTTTTTAAGTATATTCCCCACCCAGTCCTCCAAGCCTCAAGAGGTCTTAAAGTTACAGAAAGTTATATTCCAGTAAGAACTAGCCAAAGTCAAGTTTCCCTGGTTAGCAACACTGTTTTTGTATAGGGAAAGACAATATAGACTTAATATTTAGGTGTTAAACTTGTAAACACAGCTCTGGATAAAAAAGGCATCTGTTCTCTGGAAAACTTGGAGAGAGGGGCAGATGGCTCCTTTATTGTGGATCCTCAGTGTGATGAAAGGGGTCATTTCTTTTTTTTTTTCCCCTAGGATTCTAAGCATGGTTGGACTAATGTACTAGAACATGCCTAAGGGGATATTGCTAGGAGTGCAGGTGTGCTGCCCATGTAAACAATGAAAGTTCTGAAATTACATGAGAGCAATGAAAGTATAACAGCAGAGCAGAGAGCAGAGCAGAAAGGCCCCTTCAAGCCAGAGGCTACAGAGTCTGTATCCTGGGAAGGAGTATAAGATGGATCAGAAGGCACTTTTTAAGCCAGAGGCAAAGAAGCTTATTCCAGGAAAGAAGTCAGAGAATGCATGAATTCAGATGGTTATGTGCAAACTTTGTAGCTTGTCAGGAATCCAGGAAATAGGGAAGTACCTAAGTGAAATCACTTCAGGAGAGGATTTCTAGCCTGGAACTCTAAGGCTTCCTAGACATAGGCACAGAGGGGATTTTAGGGTAATTTACTAGGTATAAAGTACTTAGTCTCTCTTGTAACACATGTTACCAAAACATCACAGGCCTTTTTGTTGTTAGTGTTAGATTAAACTTTATTTATTTATTTATTTATTTATTTGTTTGTTTATTTATTTTACATGTCGATCCCAGTTCCTCCTCCCTCCCTCTCTTCCTCTTTCCCTCTTTCCCACACTTTTATGCCCCCAACCATCCTTCACTCACACCCCCCACACACTCCACAGGCAGGGTCATCTAAATCTGTTAAGTCATTTGGAGTAGGGACCAGGTCATCCCTCCTGTCTCTAGGTTAAGGGAGTATCCCTCCATGGGAAATGTGCTCCCAAAGTCCTTTTGTGCACCAGTGATAATCTTGGTTCCACTGTCTGAGGTCCCTTAGACTGCTCAGGACTTCTAGCTGAGACCCATGTTCAGGGGTCTCTCAGTCCAATACTGGATTTCCAGATATCAGTCTGGGGACCTATTAGCTCCTCCTTGTTCAGGTCATCTGTCTTTATGTGTTTTTGCAGTCTGGTCTTGTCCTCCTTCTCTGCATCTGGATTCCAGTTCAGTTCAGTTTTTAGTTGTGGGTGTTTGCTTCTGTTTCCTTCAGCTACTAGATGAGGGCTCTATGATGTTGGATAAGTTAGTAATTGATCTCATCAGGGAAGGACATTTATGGTAGCATTTCCACTATTGCTCAGATTGTTAGTTGGGGTCAGTCTTGTAGGTCTCTGGACATTTCTCTATGTTCAGTTTTCTCTTCAAACCTATAATGGCTAACTCTTTTATGGTCTCTCTCTCTCTCTCTTTTCTCTCATCTATTACTCTCCTGACTCAATCTTCCTGGTCCCACGTGCTTCCCCTTCTCCCCTTCTCTTTCTACTAGTTCCTGCTCCATTCACTGCCTCCCACACTCCCCATGTGCTCTGAATATATTGTCCCTTTCCACTTCTGCGAGGGACTTTATATGAATCTCTTAGAATCTTCCTTGTATCCTAGTTTCTCTGGCTGTGAGAATTACACGCTGGTGACCCTTTGCTTTATGTCTAAAATCCATATACGAACGAGTACATACCATGTTCCTCTTTTTTGTGACTGGGTTACATCATTTAGGATGGTTTCTTCAAATTTCCATCTACTTGCCTGTAAATTGTTCAGTTAGCTGCCTCTATGTGTTTCTTTAGATTGGACTTGTCCTCCCTCTCTGCATCTGGATTCTAGTTCAGCTCAGTGTTTAGTTGTGGGTGTTTGCTTCTGTTTCCAACAGGTACTAGATAAAGGCTTCATGATGGTGGATAAGTTACTTGTTGATGTCATTATCAGGGAAGGGCATTTATGGTAGTCTTTCTACTGTTGCTCAAATTGTTAGTTGGGGTCAGTCTTGTAGATCTCTGAACAATTCTTTAGGTTCAGTTTTCTCATCAAAACTCTACTGGCACCCTCTTTTATGGTCTCTCTCTCTCTCTGTCTCTCTCTCTCTGTCTCTCTCTCTCCTCTTGTCTGTTCCTCCCCTTACTCAATCTTCCTAGTCTCACATGCTTTTCTCTTCTCCCCTTCTCTTTCTCCTAGTACATTTTCCACTCACTGTCCCCACTCCCTATATTCTCAAGAGTTCTTGTCCCTTTCCCTTTCTGTGAGTGACATTATATGAATCTCTTAGAATCCTTGTATCCAATTTCTCTGGCAGTGTGAATTATAGGCATGTGATCCTTGGCTCTATGTCTAAAATATATATATGAGCGAGTATATACCATGTTTTTCTTTTTGTGACTGGGTTACCTCATTCAGGATGGTATCTTAAAGTTTCTCCCACTTGCCTGTCAATTACAAGATTCCATTGTTTTTTCCCACAGAGTAGTATTCCATTGTGTAAATGTACCACATCTTCCCTGTCCATTCTTCAGTTGAGGGACATCTATGTTGCTTCCAGGTTCTTGCTATTAAGGGTAATGCTGCTATAAACATAGTTGAACAGATGTATTTGTAGAATGCATGTGGATCATTGTGTTTATGCATAGGAGGGGGATCGCTGGAATCAGTGGTAGACTGATTACAATTTCCTGAGGAACCACCATACTGATCTCCAAATGGATGTACAAGTTTGAACTTCCAGAAGCAGTGGGGAGTGTTCCCCTTTCTCTACATCCTCTCCAGCATGAGTTGTCATTGTTGTTTCTGATTTAGCCATTCTGGCAGTAGTAAGAGAGTATCACAATTTTTTTTTTTGATTTGCATTTCCCTCATAGCTAAGGATGTTGAGCACTTTCTTAAATGTCTTTCAGCCATTTAGATTTCTTCTATTTTGTATTCTTTATTCAGTTCTGTACCCCATGTTTTAATAGGGTTGTTTGGTATTTTGTTGACTATTTTCTTGAGTTCTTTTTATATTTTGCAGATCAGCTCTCTGTCAGATGTAGGACTGGTGAACATTTCTTCCCAGTCTGTGGGCTGCCTTTTCTTCTTGTCATCTGTGTCTTTGCCTTAGAGAAGCTTCTCAGCTTGAGGAGGTCCCATTCCTTAGTTTTCAATCTCAGTGTCTGTGTTACTGGATTTATGTTCAGAAAGCAGTCTATTGTACCAATTTGTTCAAGGGAACCTCTCACTTTCTCTTCTTAGAGGTTCAGTGTGGAAGGATTTATGTTGAGGTCTTTGATGCATTTCAACTTGAGTTTTGTGCATGGCAATAGATATTCATCTATCCGCAGTCTTCTACCCACCATTATCCACTTGTGCCAGCACCATTTGTTGAAGAAGCTTTATCCTCCCATTGTATGCTTTTAGCTGTTTTGTCAAAAATCAGGTGTTCCAATGGGTGTGGGTTAATATCAGTATTTTCAATTCGATTCCATTTGTCTACTTGTCTATTTTTCTGCCAGTACCATGCTGTTTTCAGGACTATAGCTCTGTAGTAGAGCTTAAAGTCAGGGATGGTGATGCCTTCTGAAGTTCCTTTATTGTATAGGGTTGTTTTGGCCATCATGTGTCTTTTGATTTTCCATATAAAGTTGATTAT